TCAGCATCAAAATTGTAACCATCGAAAGGTCTTTGACCTGTTAATATTTCTATCATAATAATTCCAAAACTATAAATATCAGCAGCTCGAGTGAACTTTTCTCCTTTCAAAACCTCAGGCGATAGATAAGGCAAAACACCATAAATATGGCTATCCTTTTTTTCATCAACCGATATTGATGAACCTAAATCAATATAGGCTTCATATTGCTCTTTTAATAAAACATTACCAGGATGTAAATTTCGATGTATAAAGTTTTTAGAATGAATATTTGATAGATCATTGGCGATATCGCATAATATTTTTAGTTTAATTTTCCACTCCGATTTAAATATATCGTTAAGATTGTCACGTAATGATCCAAATTTTTCGTAGTTTAACACCAAAATACGATCTCCTGTATTTTTATTCATTGATATGCCAATATATTTCCCAAATTCGTGATATGCCTTTAACTAAAAAATATTCACCTAATTAATAGACAATAAAAAGTAATGGGGTTTCAGAATTAAACTTATTTCGAAATAAGTGGGATTCTACTTCTATTTTTAAATTTCTGATTTGAGGAATTAAAAATTGGCTTTTTCTTTGATAAATACCAACAGGAGGGAACGTGCCCTATCCAAAGTGAATCCCACACACGGTGTAATCAATTAAAACCAAATTATTTATTTTAGTTTTAATTGATCACACCGTGGGATTCACTTTGAATCGGGTACGTTCCCTCCTGTTATAAATATCTACTGGTAAACGATTATGTAATATGTTTATACGTAAAAATAAGATTTATAGTCATGTCACTTATTTTATCTGAAATCGGATGCCAAATCATTAATTCTGAAATCCACAATATAAATTTACACGTAAAAATAATTACCTCATTTAAAAAAACTTGTTCATTTTTATGCGAATCTTTTATTATCTTGATTGCAACTTCTTCATCCATTCCATAAGATGTTTTATACACTACAGAAAAACCACCTTTACCTACTTCAATATTTTTAAAATTATCGTATTTTATCCATCGGAAAAAATTTGTATGAATATCACAGTCATGTTCAGCAATAGCTGATTTTAAATACCACCAATCAACTTGATGCATTCCACAATGTTCTCCATATTCGGCACTTTTTAAATAATATTCAAAAGCCTTTTGTTCACCCTTTACAACTCCTTCTCCTTTTTCATAACAATGTCCAACATTATACATCCCAGTAGCGTCCCCCATTTCTGCAGATTTTTGAAAATAAACAAATGCCTTACGTCCATCCTTTTCAATTCCAATTCCATTAAGATAACAATGTCCAACGTCACTATTTGCAGCTGCATATCCCATCTCTGCAGATTTTTGATAATAAATGAATGCCTTATTCTTATCCTTTTTCATTCCAGTTCCATAAAAATAGCAATTACCAACTTCATACATTCCGGCAGCGTCCCCCATCTCTGCAGATTTTTGATGATAAGTGAATGCTTTATGTTTATCCTTTTCAACTCCAATTCCAGAACTATAACAAGTTGCAAGAATGAATAGAATCATAGGATCTAATTGATTATCTAAGCAATATTTAATAATATTATCTGGATTTTGCTTTTTTTTTACTAGAAATTGTTTTAAGGCGTCAAAAGCTAAACGATAACTTTTGCCTTCAAAAGTTCCTGATTATACAAATCATACATTTCTTTAATAATTTCATTAAGGAAATCCTGTGACTTATCTTCTAAATATAGTTGATTAATTTCGTTGGATATTTTAGTAACATTTAATGAATTGTCGATTTTTTCCGATTGTTTTGCATTTGACATTTTGACGTTACGAAAGAATATGTTGTAAACACATACGTAGACTTGTCATATTTATTGAGGATACTGTATTAGATA